TTATAATTTTAATAATAGTAATTTAAAAAGTTGTTGTTATGGGCGTTTTATTAGTATTTTTCTCATGTTATTATTATTATTATTATTAATATTATTGTTGTTTTTGTCACCTTTATTATCGATATTATTACCCTATTATTACTAAGTAGGCCTAGTATTATAAGTATCATAATTATTATTATTATTGCTAATTAGTATTACTATTATTATAAAAATAAACGTTATCTTTAATTTATTATTGCTGTTATTATTGCTATTATCACCTTCAATGTTATTATCACTAATTAGTATTATTAAAATACATATTTAAATATCGTTATTATTACCATATTATTTCTATTAGCATTGTTAAAATAAATATTACTATTAATATTGTTGTTGTCATCACCTTTATTATCATTATTATGACTAATTAGTATTATTAAAGTAAATATTTGAAAAGGACCGACATGTCACTGGTGAATCACGTCATTGGATGCATCCTTGTCACTGACGGGTTTCAAACATATCTCTAGATGTGTATATGAAGGACTGAAGTCTGTCACTCAACAATACCAATTGTTCCTATTGTGGATAATTGATATCAGATGCTGCACCCCACCTAATTTTAACGTAGGCCTAATTCTTGGGCATGGTTCTGAAGAAAATAGTACCGAAATGCACGCCATCGTGCATTCATTTGATTTTAGTCGGATTCAAAATAAATGTTTAAAAAAATCATAATGTGGTTTTTCTATTTCAATTTTTTATGATTAGGTCTACAGTATGTACTCATGTTTTATGTCAGTGTTTTAACGTGAACAAAATTAAACATTAATATATGTGTTTTTCTTAATTATTAAGATTGCTTAAATTGTTAATGTTACAATTGTCAGATTTCTGTCTCTTATACACATCTAGATGTGTATAAGAGACAGACCCTAGGTTACCACCACTAAGGGCTATAATTCACGATGATCAGAATTTTACTAAAATATACTGTGTACTTTATTTTAATCATATTGAAGAAAAGGGATGCAGAAACTGTAATACCGTATTTACATTTCATTTTAATTATAAATAACTTGTGGCCGAGTTGTGGCTTGCGGAGAACGCTATCTTGTGTTTATAAGATCTTTGATTTATATTGATGTATTATAGGGGGCGCTTTGTCAGACAACTCCCCTTCCTTCAGCCAGGTACTCGATGAACACATGATACTATACTTTTATATAACTTTAACTACGGAAAGCGAAGATATGGCTGAATCGGATCTAACAATAAGAACATTTATTATTTATGCTATTGGGACACTAATTGCTTTAAAAGTGATTAGTGTACTCTGGAGCTTTTGTCATCGCAGAGTATTCGCCTGTTATATGACCCGTCTTATCAGCCCGGGCTTGGAAGAATTGTTAGCGGAGTTCAAACGCGAGATATTCGAGGACCTGCCTGATGTGGAGAAGAGACTAAAAACAGATGGCCTAACAATCCTTGAAATTGGAGTTGGATCTGGAGTTAATTTTAAGTTTTATCCAAAGGGTAGCACTGTCTATCCATTAGATCCAAACCCACATTTTAACCAGTATCTAGAAGAGAATATAGAAAAAAATAAGCACGTGAATGTGAAACCGTTCGTTGAATGTTATGGTGAAGACATGACTGCCCAAGTTGCTGACAAATCTATTGATGTTGTAGTGAGTACAATGACTTTGTGTTCCGTGCTGGACATAGCAGCAGTCCTTCGTGAGGTCAGACGTGTCTTAAAATCTGTAAGTGTTGTGTAGGTAGGGTTTGGGTTGGTTCTAGAAGTCTGTGTATAACCCATTCCATTCGTAAGGCATAATGACCTTTCTTTACCCGTGGTGGGGAAATTTTACATAAAAAAAGGCCTACTGTAGGCCAATGCCCCTTGATTATGTTGCTGTGTTGTTTATAGTTGTTATTTTAATATTATCAGGAGGAAACAGCCAGTCTTGTTCAGCCCTGATTCTAGACACTTTCAAAATAGGCCCTGTTATGGTCACGAATACGTGCACACTAGAGTGCAACTTCAGGCACTAGTGGGAGAGGGTATCCGTGGAGAGGGCCTGTCATTGGGGAGAGGTGGCCTCAATTCGTCGGGGAGAAAAAGAATTATATGTATTTTCTGCTTACAGTAGACTCTAAAATCGATTAAATAAGCCTTTGAAAATTGTTGTTGGTGGGGGGGCTTCTTCCCCTAGACCACTTTCGAAACATTTTAAGCGATGCTTGACCACGCTCCTATTCTGGATACGATAGGGCACCCTCAACATCTACTCTGGACATGATAAGGTGCTCTCGGCCCCTATTTTGGCTATGATAGGGCGCCCTAAACCCCTGTTCTTGACCAAATTGAGCCACTATTTTGGACAATCTCACCACACCTAAATACATTGAAAACATACAGTACATTTATTTGTGTATACTGAAGTTAAATCTCTCTAATCAGTATCATGATGAATAAAAAGTATAGCGGCATTAGTCTGATACAGTATAAAGTACAGTACCTAAATGACAGCGGCACTTTTGAGACACTATATTGTTAGTCTCAAAAGTGCTGCTGTCATTTACTCTAATAAGTATGTTAAATTGTTAATTTCCTTCAATTTCAGGGTGGCAAATTCTACTTTATTGAACACGTTGCTGATACGAAGGGCACATGGTTGTCTGTCTTCCAAGCAATCGCAACTCAAGTTTACAAACGTATTGCAGACAACTGTCACTGGAACCGCAAAACATGGCTCTACATCGACCGAGCAGGATTTACAAGTGTTCAACACCGAAAACAGAGAAAAGCAATACATATTTTGTTGTATGGTTCAGCCACTAAGTAAAGCTACTTGTTTAATTTCATTTCCAGGGCAGATCCAGAAATTTCCAAAAGGGAGGTGTGCGATCAAGAGACAACACTAACCTGGGGGGGGGGGGTTCAGGGGTACACCCCCACAGACATTTTTGTTTTTTGATGCCCGTAAATAACCTCTGAGGCCAGTGTCGTAGTGAGCAGGTGACATGGCCCCAGAACAAGATAATTATCAGGCCTAAAAGGCACCTGATTTTTGACCCAGAGACAGAGTCTTGGTGTGATCTACTTAGGCGAAACTCTTAATGCTCATATATTCTGAGATTTTTAAAAACAGATCACAGCATTTTATTGCGTGTAAATATCTATAAAATATTTGAAAAAATATTCAAGGATATTGAGAACAAAATTTAGTCATATTTTATAGTTTAGGGCTTTTAGAGAATTTCATGAGTCTGATATTTATGTATAATATTGACAGCAATAAAACAATCATTGGCCTGATTGCAGTAAAGTACTGCAAATCTAAAATGTATTCATGAAGTACGTATTGACCCGACATGATTAAAAAAAAACTTGCATGATGTAGTAGAACCAACTTCAAAATTTAAAAACAAAAAATGTGGGTGCTGATTTTTCAATAGCTTTAGATATGCTTTCAAAGTATTTTAGTGCATCGTACTGTGTACGAAACATACATAGACCTAAGTATGGTACCTGAATGGAAGAAAATAACCTTGATTTTATTTAGTGAATATGAAGTAGTTCTTTTTAGCTTTTTGTTTTTTTTAAATTTTTTGTTTGTTTTTTTATTTTTTAAATTTATTTTTTTGTTTTTTTAGTCCTCCTACTAGCAGTGTTTAGTGATATGTAATAGATAAGTTGTAATTGACTCTGCCCACAATACTTATCAACTTATAATAAAATAAGTTGTAATGAATATATCTATAATTATGGCCTCTAAAACCTAATGTTATTATTGAGGGGTTCTTTTAAAATTTTAGTTGAAATGTTTATTATTATAAGTTATATGCTTAAATCTACAAGCATATTGAACAGTTCCCACCCCGCACCCCCCCCTCCATAGCTCCGGGCCCCAATGCTTTGAACTGGCTGCACTGCCCATACGTACGCCACTCTCTGCCCCCACCACCCCAAAGGAACTCCTTGCTGCTTTCAATTAGTGATTCGTCTAATTTGCTTTTATTTAAGAAAAATTTTGAGCATTTCTTCTATAATTTTAAATGCGCTATTATAAATCTTCAGTTTGATGTGGCTATTCTGTAGGTTGTATGTGAAGAGATACAATATGAATATCAGTAGAGTTAGTAAATTTTTTTTTTACACTTGTTTTGATGTGGCTCTGTTCTAATACTTAAGAATATACTTCAGGCAATAAATCAACTTTATATTTCAAAAAATTAGCAATAAATACAGTACTACTTTTTACAATCTGTTCAGCCAAAAAGTGCCAAAATGGCTAAATTTCCCCTTTCTTTAGCAGTAAATATTCCATTATTTTATCATTTTATATATATATATATCTATATATATGTATATGTATATATACATATATATATATATGATGATGAGGCCTGGAAGGCCGAAACGGATCCGTCTGCAGATATTGGGATTCCTTCCAGTGGATGCTTAGTTTATTTTGTCATTCTGATCGGATTTTCTCTACTGTTCCGTTTTAA